TTCTTCGAACTTTATTTTTTTGCCTTTTAATATGCTTTGTAATTTTTTTCCATAGCTGTACATGATGTACTTAGTAGAGGGAACTACTGTAAATGGTACTTTAATGATGTTGTGGTAAGGTGTACGGGAGGAGAAACATTCTACACTACTGTAATTGGGTACTAGTCTTTTGGTGCCCCTGTGAACTTCACTAGGACTTCTCAGTTTTCCCCACTTGGGTGGGTCAAAATGGCTGGAGGGATCTAGAGTTGTGTATTTTTCCTCCCCTATGTGGAAGGCTAGAGGGAGCTGGAGTTGGGTATTTCCCTTCCCCCATGTGGAAAGCTAACAGGCGCTAGAGTTGGATATTTTTCTTCCCCCAAGCACGTTACGGTGAAGACCCAGTCAAGCGCTTGGAGATGAAACTTAGAAAACTGTAGGAGCTTTCTGTGCTCTGAAACATGCTTACAGGTTAGACTCTGGTAAAACAGTTTCTCCTCAAGGCAGGCCTTGTTAAGAGGAACAATATGAGGAATCTCCATGCCATTTTCCATCATGATGGTATGAATTTACATTATTTCTCACAATGCATAAGAGTTCTCTTTTAACTGCATCCTCTCCAACACCTGTGGTCTTTTATCTTTTTAACAAAACCATTCTAACAGGTGTGAGATGATATCTCATTGTGTTTTTAATTTGTATTTCCCTAATGATTAGTGATGCTGAGCATTTCTTTCATGTACCTACTTGCCATTTTTATGTCTTCTTTTGAGAATTATCTGTTCAGGTCCTTTGCCCATTTTTAAATTGGATTATTTGAGTTTTTATATGTTTTGGACGTTAATCCTTAACCAGATGTATGATTTATAAATATTTTCTGAATGCTCTAGTGTATTTCAAAATGGTTCCTTTTCTCCTCCCCCTGCTGGAAGCATAAAGAGATTTTTCTCCAATACTGTGAAGACCCAGTCAGGCTCCTGGAGATAAAACTCCGAAAAGTGTGGGAGCCTTCTGTGATTAGGTCCTCCTGGAGTTTTTAACTCTCAGACTTGTCTGCACTGAGCCTTATGCAATTTATCAATTCCAGTTTAGGTTTTCCTAACCCCAGCACTGGTTCCCCTAGAGGTTTCTGCTCATCAATTTCTTCTCTAGAAAGTTGTGATTCTCTATATCCCCCTGTCTATCTCTTCAATTTTAGGGACACTGGTTTTCCCTGTGACTTCATTTCTCAGAAAGATCTAAGAGTACTTGTTTTTTGCTTTTGCCAGCTTTTTACTCGTTGACAGATAGAAGGACTTTTTGCAGGAGTCATTCGGTGGTTGGATTTGGTTCCATCCCCAAAGCTCCGCAACAGCCATGAGACTTCAGATTTGCCACACTCCAGAATTATAGCCCCTGAAGATCCAAACACAGCACAGATTCCTCTTGGCTGGGGACTGTAAGCTGAGAAAGGGTCATAGGAACCCTGGCATCAAATGAGTGCCCGGGGGAGAGAGAGCAGGCCTTGTGGCAGTCAGCCTCTTTCCAGTATTATCCAAGGGACCCACCCTCACATCCAATGTCTTCTGTTCTTATTGATTTCCACTTGGAAGTATTTTCTTCTCTCTCATCCCAGCATGAGACAAGATTTGGAGCACCTTTTCCATGAGCATCTGTGTAGATACTTATTAGGATGTGCCTTGCCCTAGTCACAGTGATTCCTCCAGAGGCCCTGCCTGTACTATGATCCTTGTGCTGGTAATGGCTCTGTGATTATAGGACTGGGCACATGACCCAGGTTCATCATCATGGTGCCAAGGTTGTCACACTGTATCATAAGTCCTTGAGGAACAAAGGATCTATTTTTAAAAATTATTGCTGTTACTAAAACTCTACCTATTAACAATAATATCTAACTTTTGGAGCATAGTCAGCTATTATTAAGCAATTTGCATATATTAATAGATTTTATGACCATAGCAAAAGTATGAAGTTGGCACGCTTCATATCTCCATTTCACAGTTGAGGGAACTCAGGAAACAGAGAAGTTAAATGGTGTCCCCAGGGACACATAGCTAGGACTCACAGAGCTGGAATTCAGACCTAAACGTTCTGACTCCTAAGCCCACAGGCTTACTTTTCTCAAACATCCACTGACCCCCAGTTCCTCACTTGTCCCAAAGTACTTTCTGTCACAGTAGTTGGGGAAATGGGTGAGGAAAGGAGAATTTTTGGCTCAGAGGCCCCCAGGCTCCTGGTTCTCTCAAACATTCAGGCTGTATCTGTACTGCACCAAGTCAACCTGAATTTGAAATTAAATTTCTTGCACAATTTTTACGAAAATTTTCCACTGAAATAAGCATCCGTGCACTTAGTAGATCTTTATCGAAGGATTGGAGTTCACAGGGAGGTACCTTGCTGCTCAAAGCCCAGATTCTGCCATCTTCCTGACACTATCTATCAATTTTTGAGTCATGTATTTCAAATTGTGCTTCTTGGAGGCATAAAATTAGTGACTCACATCATCCAGGTTAATATTTATTTTATGAATAGGAATGTTTCATCCATTTGTGCTATCTATCTTAAATTTTATTTTTTCAGGTATTAGTATTGCTAAACCAACTTTTCTGAAGTACTTTGTGGCATATCTTTTGCCATCACCATAACCATATTTACACCCATTACCATCACTTCATTTTGGTGTGTTTCTGTGTGCTGTGTTCTGGGAGATTTCCCTCACACAATCACCCAACTCACTAATTTACTAGTTAATTCTATAAAGTCAGCTAGTCAATCTATTAGTTTCTTTTTTTTTTTTTTACTTTAGCATTAATTATATTTTCATTTTCAAAGTCTCTGATTTGTTATTTTTCCTACATGTATAACTGTTCTTATTCATGCCTGGGCTATTCTTTTGTCATAAATGCCTGTTATTGTTTTATGAATTTACTTCTGTTTTGTTTTCTTTATAAAGTTATTGAATATATGAATTTTAAAGATCATTTTATATTCTATTTTAAAATATTGCCTCAGATGTGAAGCTCCTTTGATTGCTATTTGATTTTAATTATTGTTGTTCTTGAATTTGTTACGTATCTCTCATGGTGCTGCTGTTCCCTGAAACTTTGGTGATTCCTGCTTGTGCTGCTGACTTTTCAGGAATAAGGTCCCACATGATTGTGGGCCAACAGGGCCTTGTGGAGCATGGCACCTGCCTCACCCTCACTGTGGAGGCTGCTCCTAAATGAGACTATGGCTTCTTTGCTGCTTTCTTCTTAATAGATGTCTCTTCCATCCTATGAGAAGTGTTAATGCAACCATTAAAAGTGAAGGTTGTGGGCCGGGCACGGAGGTTCAGGCCTGTAATCCCAGCACCTTGGGAGGTTGAGGTGGGCTGATCACCTGAGATCAGGAGTTTGAGACCAGCCTGGCCTACATGGCGAAAACCCGTCTCTACTAAAAATACAAAAATTAGCCAGGCGTGGCAGCAGGCACCTGGAATCCCAGCTACTTGGGAGGCTGAAGCAGGAGAATTGCTTGAACCCGAGAGGCGGAGGTTGCAGTGAGCCAAGATCGTGCCACTGCACCCCAGCCTGGGTGACAGAGAGAGACTCCATCTCTCTCACACACACACACACACACACACACACACACACACACACATAAAAAGTGAAGGCTCTGGAGTGTGGCTGCCTGTGTTCTAATTCTAAAAGCTGGGTGATGTTGAGCAATCCATTACTCTCTGTGTGCCTTGGGTTTCCTGACCTGTAAAAGGAGGTTAATGGTAGATTTTCCTTCATGGGTCAGAGCCATGATTTAATGAGGTAACTGACATCTACAGTGCTTGATTCAGTATGGAAAGCACAGGACATCTTCAATAAATGATAGCTGCTACTATTCCTTCGTGTCATATAGAGACTGGTTTCTTGTTTTTAAGTGTACTTAGACATTTATTCCTATAATTTGATCATTTTCATTTGTATTTCTGTGGTTGTGGGGCAAGAGGTGAAGATTCCCCCATACTGACATCTGCCACACTGAAACAGAAATTTGGATGAAAATACAACTTTTACAATTTCATTTGAAAATTACTCACAACTGATTAAGGACCCAAAACCCAGCACATGACAGAGAAGTTTCTAGACAGACCTTTTGTTAGTCATAGACCCTGGAGGAGAGACATTTTTCCTAACAAGGTGGTATTTTGAAAGCAAAACAGTAACGGGAAAACAGTGACCTTTTCCTGAACACACAAAATAATTATAACCACAGTTTTTTTGATATAATTATGAGTCACTCAGTCTGTATAGTTTATATTATTCCAACTCTATAAGATACATGTTACAACCTCTGTTTACATGTAATTAAAATAAGGCTCAGAGAAGTCAAGTGTCTTATTGAAAGTCATAGAGCTGGAAACTTCAAAAGAAGGAATTCATCTATAGATTAACAAGGAGCAGGGTACAGACAATTCCAAGGGGAGCAATTGGTCCCAGAGTGGCAGGGGTAGTCCAAGGATACCATATAAGCTGCGTCTCAGGAGGCCCAGGAAGCTGAAAGAAAGTCACTGGTGAGCAACTGGCACCATGAAGTAGGAATCCAGCCAAAATCAATATTTGAGTTCCCTCTCCTCACTTGGCTCAGTGAGTATCAGTAATGACCTACTGGGTTTCAGGCATGGTATCATCATTATCTCCTTTAATCTCCACTAAAACACAGCAGGGAAAGGCTTATTATCCCCAGTTTAGAGACCACAACTGAGCCTTGGTTGGCCTAGTGACTTGCCCAACTCCTTAGCACACTCTCTTGGTCAGGGCATTTATTCTTCCTGTCTCCCCAGTTCCCATCTGAACACAGTGGTGAATGGAATAGGTACACCGTGTACAGAATGAAGAGTATTAAAATTGATGTGACTGCCCCAGGAACTTGCCCACCATATTATTTCCCCCCTGACCCCCGCTTATAATCCCATTCCCTCTCCATAATCCATAATTCCCACCTTACGCCACAAAGCAGATCCTTATTAATCTAAATCCACTTCTTCTTGTGACAGAGTCAGAAAATAATTCATTTTGTTGGGTGGAGGCACATGAAAGAGCTAAGGTCCACATTAGACTGAATTTGAGTTAAGTTTTGCCAGTTATATCAAGTTTGGAATAGGGAACCATTTCAGGAGCAGACCTGGTTCCTCTTCAACACTGAGCAAGTCCTCTGAACCCTCCTCCTGCCTCCAGCTGAGTAGGACATGGTTGAGGCTGGCGTAAAATGAGACCACAAGCCAACCAGATCCTCTGGTCTTGAGGTTGGGAGTTTATGAAACATTTTATAACCACACGTCCTTCTTGGCCTAAGACCTCAATGTGATCTGAAGATGGAGATAGGGGCTATTTGGAGGGAACACAGGCTCCAGGCAGCAAGGAAGCATTTTTTCTGCTAAGCCTGTCTTATTCTCCTGAAAATAGAGCATGAGTAGCTCCTTGCATTGTAGCTGCCTGCTGTGCCTGGTCTCTATTTCACAGTCCCGAAGCAGGTTACTGTCTCACTCCATCAGAGTCACTTCTTGAATTGAGGGAAGCAGGACTTGTCTTCACTCCACAGAGCAGAGTCTGGGATCTCCCCAGCACAGGCATTTGGACAGATCAGGCTGCTGAGGTCTCCTGACCCCTTTCCCCACCTTCTGGCCCCCAAACCCTGCTCCATTCCTGCTGCTGGATTTACTGCTGAGACTCACAGGTGAGCACTGCCTTGGGCTAGAATTTTTTCTTCCTACCTGAAGGACCATGCCCTGCCTCTGGGCTTCCAGGGATTCCAGACAAACACAAGTGATGCTAAGGAAGGCCAAGGACTGGGTATTGTTTGAGAGCAGAACATCAGGGAGCTGAGCACTTTCTCTGTGGATCTGCAGCTGGCTACCGGAGGCATCAAATCACAGGATGCTCCAATCAACAACACCACATTTACTTACATTTTTATAATATTTCAGTTAACAAAACACTTTTCGAAAAATTATTATTTGAATACCTAAGGCTCTTGAAGGCTCCAGGAGGCAAAGTGACTTGTCCAAGGCCATAGAATGAGCTCAGAGATAGCCTAACAGGGTTGTGTGGCTCCAGGGCCAGCCCTCTCTCTTTACCACCCTGAAGATGTGAAGTCGGAAATGGTGCCTGCTTCAGTTGGGCAGGAGAGCAATTGGGGGTGTTCAGTCACCATCCTCCCTAAGGGTGCTTCTCGCTTTGGTCCGTGTTTCCCACTGCTCCTCCCTCCTCTGTGATCTAATCTTACCAGCCATTTCTCTGTGGCCACTTTCTCTTTAAGAAGTTCACATTTTCCACTGGGTGTGGTGGTTCGCTCCTGTAATCCCAGCACTTTGGGAGGCCAAGGTGGGCAGATCATCTGAGGTTAGGAGTTTGAGATCAGCCTGGTCAACATGGTGAAACCCCGTCTCTACTAAAATTACAAAAAAAAAAAAAAATTAGCCAGGCATGGTGGCACACACCTGTAGTCCCAGCTACTTGGGAGGCTGAAGCAGGAGAATTGCTTGAACCTGGGAGGCGGAGGCTGCAGTGAGCTGAGATCGTGCCACTGTACTACAGCCTGGCAACAGAGCAAGACTCTGTGGTAAAAAAAAAAAAAAAAAAAAAAAAGTAGAAGTTCCACATTTTCTTTTTATTGAATCCTATATTTGTTTGTAAGGGCTTCCTTAACAAAGTACCACAGACAGGGTGGCTAATACGACAGACATTTGCTTCCTCACAGTTCTGGTGTCTGAAGTCCAAGATGAAGGTATCACCAGGGTTGGGTTAGTTTCTACTGAGTTCTCACTCTTTGGCTTGTAGAAGGCCATCTCCTCCTTGTGTCTTAACACACAGTTTTCCTTCTGTGTGTGTCTGTGTCCTAATCTTCTCTTCTTATGGGAACACCACTCATATCGGATTAATGCCCACCCCAGCAATATTATTTAACTTAATTCCTTCTTAAAGGCCCTGTGTCCAAATACAGTCACATTCTGTGGTGCTGGGGTTTGGGGATTCAACAAATTCATTTTGGGGGGACACATTCAGCTCATAACAGGTACCATAACTTTCCTTCCCAGCTCCCAGACAGGCTGCCGGTCCTGACCCCTTCTCAGGTCATGGAGCTGATCCCAGAGTCACAGGGGTGGGCACAGCAGCCTCTCTATGTGCAGTCTAGGGACTTGGTGCCCTGCATCCCAGCCACTCCAGCCATGACTGAAAGGGGACAAGGTATAGCTCAGGCTATGGCTTCAGAGGGTGCAAGCCCAAGCCTTGGGAGCTTCCACATGGTGTAGAGCCTGCAGGTGCACAGAAGCCAAGAATTGAGGTTTGGGAACTTACACCTAGATTTCAGAGGATGCATGGGAATGCCTGGATGCCCAGGCAGAAGTTTGCTGCCGGGGCAGGGCCCTCACGGAGAACCTCTTCTAGGGCACTGTGGATGGGAAATGTGGGGTGGGAGCCTCCACACAGAGTTCCCACTGGGGTGCTGCCTAGTGGAGTTGTGAGAAGAGAACCATTGTTCTCCAGATCCCAGAATGGTAGATCCACTGACAGCTTGCACGATGCATCCTGAAAAGCCACAGATGCTCAACACCAGCCCATGAAAGTATCCAGGAAGGAGGTTGTACCCCGCAAAACCACAGGGGCAGAGCTGCCCAAAACCGTGAGAACCCACCTCTTGCATTGGCGTGATCCAGATAAGAGACATGGAGTCAAAGGAGATAATTTTGGAGCTTTAAAGATCTGACTGCCCTGTTGGATTTCAGACTTGCATGGGGCCTGTAAGCACTTTTGTTTTGGCCAGTTTCTCCCATTTGTAATGACTGTACTTACCCAAGACCTGTACCCCATTGTATCTAGGAAGTAAGTAACTTGCTTTTGATTTTACAGGCTCATAGGCTGAAGGAACTTGCCTTGTCTCAGGTGAGACTTTAAACTGTGGACTTTTGAGTTAATGCTGAAATTAGTTAAGATTTTGGGGGACTGTTGGGAAGACATGATTGGTTTTGAAATGTGAGGACATGAGGTAGAGGCCAGGGGTGGAATTATATGGCTTGGCTGTGTCCCCACCCAAACCTCATCTTGAATTGTAACTCCCACAATTCCCATGTTTCATGGGAGGAACCCAGTGGGAGGTAATTAAATCATGGGGGCAAGTTTTCCCATGCTGTTCTTGTGATAGTGAATAAGTCTCACAAGATCTGATGGTTTTAAAAATGGGAGTTTCCCTGCACAACTCTCTCTCTGCCTGCTGCCATCCATGTAAGATGTTACTTGCTCCTCCCTGACTTCCACCATGATTGTGAGGCCTCCCCAGCCACATAGAACTCTTTCTTTAGGTCCATTAGACCTTTCTTTTTGTAAATTGCCCAGTCTCGGGTATGTCTTTATCAGCAGCATGAAAACAGACTAATACATACAGATTACAGACAAAGGCATGGAAGTTTCCAGATGGTTCATCCTAAGCCTAAACAATGACAGCTAGTAAGGGGCTCAGGAGTAACTCAGATCTGCTAACTCCTAGTAGAGTGCTCACTCCTCTTTCATGCCATCAGTCTAAATGATCACTTGAATGAGAAGAGAGGAAGGCAGAAGGGTGTTGGGGAAAAACAGCTGTGCTGAGCATCAGAGGGAAAAGGGAGGTGTCAATCAGTGTTGGGGCTTGAGATGTCAAGGCAGTTGCTCTGTAGATGGAAATAAAAAAGTTTTGAGGGCACAGGAAATGCCCAATAGGATGCAGTAGGGGAAGAGGAGACAGGGCCTTCATTTGTCTCAGCCTCAGTTCTCATCTGTAAAATGGTGATAATCATGGACTCCTTTTAGGAGAGTGAAAAGAATTGGGGTTCCTGTGTGTAAATCACGTAACACATTGTAGATGCCTCCACATCAAGGTGTTATTTCAAGGCTGTGTGGTCTTGGGCAGCCCAGTTCCCTTTGCTGAGCCTCAGTTTTCCCATATGTAGAATGTAGATAATTATACTGACCATTCCAGGATTTTATGAGAACACAGTGAGCCTGGGGAGAGGATAGACCTCAGTAAATGACGAGGTTGTTTTCCCAAGGTCATGTGATCTTGGGAAAACCTTGGTGCCCTTGAGTCCTCAGTTTCCCCATGTGTGAAATGGGATGATCATGGCCACTATTCTGGGTTCTGTGAGGACTGGAAAGGATAGGCACAAAGTCCCAAATGGTGTTGGTGTAGGGTTATTACTGAGCAGCTATAGAACAGTGGTTAGAAGAGCATGGGCAGGAGTCTGACTGCCTGGGCCACATCCCAGCTCTGCCACCTCCTGGCTCTGTGACCTGGGACAAGGCATTTCCCCACATGGGCCTTGATGTCCTCATCTGTTGATAACACCTACCTCACAGACTGGGGTAATGACTGAATTATTTAAATTATATAATGTGCTAGAACAGCTCTGACATGCAGTAAATGTTCAAGAAACATGAGCTATGTCATGCTGAAACCATGTGACCTCAGGTGAATCAGCTCTCCCACAGGCCTGAAGTATAAATGAGTTTAGTGTGGGGTTAAGTAGTTTTCCATCTGGCTTCTCGTTAGAATCACCTCAGAAACTGGAAAAAAAAAAAAAAAATTCCCAGACCCAGTCTACCTTGTAGAAATGCTGCTTTAATTGGTCTGACATAGGCATCTGACAATTTTAACGACTGCAGATTCTAATATACAGCCAGCACTGAGAACCCCTGATTTGTATGTCTTGAGGTCACAGAGGAAAAGTTTTTTTTCCTCCCTTGTACAGGTGATCCCCCATGATGCTGGGCTTGAGAACAGCATTTCTGGGTGTAAGTGCTTTAGAATTGTGTGCGCTGGGTACAACTCTTTTGAGGCACCAGTGGCATGGCCAGGGCCACTCCCAGAGTGCAGGCATCAGGTGCTGAAAAGAAGCAGCTCAGGTAAAGTCCTGCCCACATACCAGCCTCAGTGTTGAAACCCTCCAGTCTTGTCTTTTCTTTTTTTTTTTTTTGAGATGGGGTCTTGCTATGTCGCCCAGGCTGGAGTGCAGTGGCACAATCTCGGCTCACTGCAACCTCCACCTCCTGCGTTCAAGTGATTCTTCTGCCTCAGCCTCCTGAGTAGCTGGGATTACAGGCATGCACCACCATGCTCGGCTAATTTTTGTATTTTTAGTAGAGACAGGGTTTCACCATGTTGGCCGAGCTGGTCTCAAACACCTGACCTCAGGTGATCCACTCACCTTGGCCTCCCAAAGTGCTGGAATTACAGGTGTGAACCACTGCGCCTGGCTCCAACCTTCCAGTCTTAAAACATATTTGTGTCTAAGCAGGCACCATAATCCCAGGAAATCACTTTTTAGCTGCACAACCCTTCCTGCCTTGACACACCACACACCAAGATGTCCTTGAGGAATTTTTCCTCCTCCTTTCAAAAATGCTTTTGTAAATAGACTCTCTGGGTTGGGGGAGGATGCCTGTGCTCTTGTTTGTATTTTGAAAGCCAATTCACCAAACTTGTTTCCTGAGGGGATTATTCAGAAAAGAGAAAGATAATTCTAATTTGCTGTTTTCCGCTCCTGTTTTTATTTGGACTTCTCATGGCAGCTACAGGGAAAAGAAATTGAGACCAAAACTAAATACAAATTTCACAATATCACAGATATCTTATCAAGATGCTAGGGGACACTGGTAGTTCTAATTCTGTGAAAAATGACATCAGTAGTTTGAATCTGTAGATTG